TTTTAATACCATGCTCTACGGTATCGTGATAAAATTACAAAATTTTGTAATTTTATCACATATTATAGAACCATATTTTATTGTAAATTTTACCAAACTCATTACTAAAGCTTCTCGTTTAAATAACAAAGTTTTCTGATGTCGAGATAGAGTCAGAAACACGGTAATTTTCACCAATTTCGGAAAGTTAAAACCCTACTTTTTTTCTCAATGTAGAATCCGACTTACAGATCGAAAGTTATTCAGGTTTTCTGCTTTTTATTTTACACACATTGTTTAAAAAAACCTGTTTCTTTTCAAAACTCAACTTAAATTATATAATAATTTTTTATATTAGATTAAATTTTCATATCTTCTTAATAACTTGAATCACTTTATTTTTAAAATTTAAATAAAATTACAAAAATCTATCATTAAAACATTATACTGTACATTTCCCAACCCCAAAACATTTTTAACTTGGGTAGATATCTTTTGAGCAGCTACTGTAAATGTTTTTTTACTCAACAATTTTCGGTATTACGAGAAAAAAAAACATTTCAGCTGATTATTCAAACATACGGAAACTGAAAATAAAATTCAAAGTTACACTAGAATACCCATATTCAATAGAGGACACAGTTATTGTTTTGCTGCGCACGTACTAATTTAAAAGATTCTCGAATTTACAACGACATGAATTCCACACATCTGCTGGATATAAATTAATACGTTTTTGGATAATATAAATTATGAACTCATTTGCATAAAATTTAATTTTTTTATGCTTAATTAGTATTTTAATTATCGTCAGACAAACATTATAATTCACTATTTCACACTTACATTCATAGATTTAAAATATTGTTCGCCAATTATAATGAATTATAAGTGTTCATTTAACGCGATTGATAATATTTATTCGTCTTGTTAATGAGAACATAAATATAAAGAGGGATTAAATCAACCTTTGCATGATGCTCTGGAGAGCGATAAAATGAAGATAATTGGTTTTATTGCAATACTCCGTGATTGTTAGGTCAGGAAATTGTAAGGCAGCCACCTTAAATAATGGTTTTATTGTAAATGAGGATTCTTATGGGAAAAGAATTGAAAGGGTAAATTAATGAAGGGATCATATAAGTTCTTCTTGAGAAAGAAGAGTTCTTGATTTGAAAATTAACATATTCCTTGATTAAAAAAATTAATCTAGTGCAGTTAAAAATACATATGAAACCCTATAATGTAGATGATTTAAAGATTTTTCAACTTAATATTAGGCTTACACGTGAGTGAGATGCATCCATCAACAAAAGTATAAATTCATTTCTAAAACACTAATCTTTTGCGAACAGCAAAAAACTTCTCTCCAAATGCGTGCTTAATTGGTGGAGAAAGCGTAGATTGTTGAGAAGCAACGGTTACGATACGATAAACTAGAAATCTATACTTTCATCACAAAAAAATAACATAATTTTGTAGTTCAACGACAAGAATTTATAAATCCCCGTTCTTAAACGATAGTGGTTCGATCCGATGTAAATGTTTTGTTTAAATAATCCTAACGGTTGAAGAAAAAATAATTTTTTTTAAAAATTCGAACGCCAACAGTTCTAATTCAAGGTCATGACTGCCTGGTAGAACTCTTGTATCGCTTACGTATATATGACCATCCTAATTGTCGACCATGTGACTCTAAAGAACCTATGAGCCAAAAAATCATCACAATAGGTCAATCTACGGACTTGACTCCGAAAATGCAAAATATTTGCGTGTGAGCGAGCTTCTGGGGAAATGACTTCGGTCTTTCTTTTACTTCTTGTGATTCCTTCTGATATTTATTTGTATTTGTAACCGTCATTGAACAGCCGATCCAATTTTTGGGTTTACAACTACTAATGTTCAACTCCGTAGCCTTGTAATTTTGAACCCAATCCAGAAGGCAAGGAAACTCATGGATCAAGTAATGGGTGAAATTTGCCTTCGTGAAGGACTTTTTGATTGAACTAACCCGCATTTGAGTTACATTCAGAGGAAGACCTCGAGAACCTCCCACGGTTAGCCTTATGGCAAGGGGACTCTAACCCATGATCCGTTAACCAGTGAGGATATTTCGCGTCAGCACTGTGGTCCGTAGAAGCCGGATGCGGAATTTGTATCAACCAGACATGCCCGGGATTCGAATCCGGTTTACATCATTAGACGGAGAGTGCTCTATCCCCTGAGCCATCGCAACTCTTCTAATGTTTATTGATCGTCTTTGTTGTATTTGATTGTTCCTCCCCCCATCAGATGCTAATTTGTAAGTATATATTTTAAAAGGCAGTACTTCATTCTTTTACTAAGTATCAATATCATATTTGAGATTTATATAGACTTGGTTTATTGATCTATTGATTATTGATCTCATCGATAAAATAAATTGGTTCTTTTTTATTCTACCTGCAGTTCCCTTTTAAAGGAGGTATGAAATAGCTTAAAACACTTCAAAAACAACAGTTTTTTCAATTAGATCCTTCAATTGAGCACTTTCAGATAGACATTTTCGTCATCATTCACCTAAGTAAACAGATCTACAAATTTTGTTTTGTTTGGAGATGTTTACGCTGATGTCTGATATGCAAAGAAATACAACTATGTTTTGTGAAATTTATAGTAACTAAATTTCCAAACATGATTTAATCTTCATTCTAAAGAAATAACGAAATGTTTGCGAATATTTTGAGCAAATTTAGACTATATTAGTTATACTGATTTCAAGTACAGAAATTTGGTTGAGTTTCACAGCTATGTTGAATCAAGAAAAGATGTACTGGTTTTTGAACAGCTGCGACTTATTTTCAAAGAAATAGCTTCACGAAATCATCAAGTTAACTTTCAGAGCACACCACCATAACATTTTCGTATAATTCTGTAATTTTAAGACTTAGGTATGCTGAATCTCAGAAACAACAGGAAATTCTCTCGAAATTACTGTACTGTATGACACTCCCAAGATAAGACAATAAATCAAGAAAATAAACATGATTTTGGCAAATAAAACCAAACTATTGGTAGTTTTTCCATTCACTTGGTCATGGTTTATCGGAAATTTTGTTTTCTAAAATTATAGTTATTATTACCACACTTGTAATAACAAAGAATAATATCTTTTATGACATACTCTAAGGTATCACGATAAATTTAATTCCACAACCAAGTAAAACTTTATCACCAGTTTATTTTGATGTAAAATTTTATAACTTGGAATTTTTATTTTTAGAAAAAATGCTTTTTAAAATTTAGATTTAAAAAGAAAGGCTGTTGAATTAGTTTTCATGGGATCGCTTAATTCTTAAAAATTTCCAATTTATATAATGCTAAAACTAATTTATTTTTAGGACTTCATTTATTAAATAATACTTTTGTAAATTTTATTCATCTTCCTTTTTTATTCCTCACTAACTTACGTGTCTTTGTTTCTTTTCTGTTTGTTTTCTTTTAGATTAAGCATTTTCTAATTAAAACGTATTCTTTCAATTATTCTAACTATTTTATTTAAGTTTCTCGCTTATATTTTGTACAAAAAAGAAAACCACTTTATATGATAAAACTTCCTCCCTTCGATTTTTTTTTAAAAATTTTATTACATTTCTTCTGAGAGATTATTTATCAAATCTTCAGTTTCAAAAAAGTTTTGTTCTAATTTAGATTTGAACGGCTCTTTTATTTCGAGTTTATCTTTGTGTTTTTATAATGCAATTCCACGTTTAAAAACGGTTTTGTTTAAAGCTGCACATTTTTCAAATATATATATATATATATATATATATATACTTAATTATTAAATATTGGTGGGAATTCTAATTTGTCTTTTTATCTTTATTTGTCTTTTTAAGTCACTATCTATTCCATTACTAACTAAATTTAATATATTTATAGCAATGAGTTTACCGTCATTATATAATTCGGTTTTAAAACTTGATAAATAGACTGAAATCATTCCGTTCTACTATTCAAAGTTAAAACGTAGGTATATCTTATTACAAAATATTATTAATAATAATAATTCTTTGAATTTGTTTTATTTTTGTACAGTTTATTTTTTGAACGTTGTTGTTGTCTTGCCCCATTTGCCAATAATGACAATCCTATTTTAAGGCAGAGGAATGCTCTACTCTTCCGGTGTCGTTATCTTTGGCCAATAATTTGACTTCTGGTCCACACATACGTCAAAGCCCGTTTCACAGAGAGGGCACATTCACACACCATCCATTCATCCTCAGATCGTAAATTTGCTCTAAAACAGAGCACTATCAATCTCCGATCCAGTACCCCCAGAGTTATGGATTTATTATAAAAACTTGGAGGTCTTCGTGATCCCGATAGATTTACCGTGAATCAGTCTCCATTTTGTATACTTTGATCTTTAGCTGGCGGGAATCGAACTGTCGACCTCTTGGAGCTGTCTCAACGTGATTATATTTTATATTAAAACTCTTAAAACTATTTAGTTTAAAGTTTACGTTTTTGATTTAATTTGATTAAAAACTTTGATTTATATTTACTATTTACTTATTCTATACATTAACTATTCATCCTGAAAATTCAATACCTCTCTAACTTTTACTTAAATTAATTTTTATTTAAAAATTAATTAACTACCATTTCTTATATCGGTAAATTGCGCAATTTCATAACATATAATTCCAAACAATAGTATAAAACCATTCCATTCTTCTATAAAAACAAAGGGTTTGTGTATTGTACGGTAAAAAGAAAAGAATTTTTTTTTTCTGTTGTCTTATTTCTGCGCATTTTTCTTTCACAATACCATTAAATGTTCTTTCTGACATAAAACAGCTTTATACGTTTGATGTCGTAGAAAGAAGTAACTAAAGTGAATAAAAATAAAATATCCTGCCTACTGCTTCAGATAAGAGTTTTACTATGTGATATGTCCTAGTTAGAAAGATAACGAAATTTCTTCTTTTTAGTGTTCTATTCCTTTCAATTTTTTTTTCTTTAGTGCTTGTTTTATTATTTTAACATTGGTCGGAAGAATAAAACCGAAAATAAAACAATTCTTTTTGTTTTAAGGTATTGTAGTAACTTTTCTTTATAATAGTTGTTAATTTTTTAGTTATTCGGGTATTTTCTGGCTGAGACTAGTTAATGAAATGTATGTTTAAAAAAATTTATATTTTGAACCAAAGATTCAACCGTTATAGCTTCTCTTATTTCCTCATAACTTTATATCTTTTTTTTAAAAAGAAAAACATTTCCAAATTCAAAGAAACTTTAAATTTTTATATATTTTTATGTGTTATATTCCTTTCATTTTTCTTTTAGTCATTGCTTGTTTTATTATTTTAACATTCGGCATGAATAAAATCAGGAAAAAAAACAATTTCGTTCTGCCTTAAAGTATTGTAGTAACATTTTTTTAAAAATGGTTTATATTTTTTTAGTTATGGTGATTTTTAGACTCAAAGTAGTTTGGAAAATGTAAAGTTAGTAACTTTAATATTTTGAACCAATTCTTTTTCACTTTTTCTATTACCTGGTAACTTGATTTCCTTTTTGAAAAAGATATTTCTAAATTAAAAGAAACTTTAAATCTATATGTATAAATTTATTAAAACATCGCGTAATAATTTCACTTTTTTAGTGTTCTTTTCCACGTAATATTTTTCTTAGCACTTGTTTTATAGTTATACCATTAGTTAGAAGAATGAAACCGAAGCTAAAAAGTTCTTTTTATTTTAAAATATTGATGTAACGTTTCCCTAAAATAGTCGTTAATTTCTTTAGTTACACAGGTATTTTTACACAGAGAGTAGTTAAAAAATATATTGTTAAAAAGTTTCCTATTTTGAGCCAAAACTGATACAATAGTTTGAGCCTTTTTATATTGCCTGGCAACTTAATTTTCTCTTAAATTATAAATAGTTTCATAAAACGAACTTTTAATTTATGCATTTTTGTTTAACGATAACAAAATTTCTTCTTTTTGGTGTTTTATTTCTTTCAATTTTTTTCTTCAGTACTTATTTTATTATATTAACAATTGTCAGAAGAATAAAACCGAAAATAAAGCAATTCTTTTTATTTTGAGACAGGTATAGTAGTAATATTCCTTTATAATAATTGTTAATTTTTTTAGTAATTCGGATATTTTTAGACTTAGAGTAATTAAGAAAATTTATTGTTATCAAATTTTATACAATAAACAAAAACCAATTCAATCATTTTAACTTTTTGTAAATGCATTCGAAAAAGATACATTAATAATGAAACAATTCCCTGTTTCATAAGGATAAAAGATTTAAAAAAAAATTTTCAATATTTTAAATTTTTCTTTGGCATTTGCTTAATTATTTTAACATTGGTCTAGTAAATATTATGGAAAAATATTGAAATAATACCTTTTCGGAATTGCAAGGCATTTTGGAATAGCAGTTATATTCCCTTATACTATTTGTTAATTTATAAGTAACGTTTTTTTTCAAAAAAAGTAGTTTAAAGTTTAGAAAATATATATTTAAGAATTTCTGCTTTTAAAACAAACACTAGTTCAAGCATTTAAAATCAGGTCAGATTAGTTTTAAAACTTTGTATACAGTATGGTCATTTAGCTATTTTTTGAAATTTTATTGTATAAAAAATCGTTTAAACACAAATATTTAAATTTTATACTTCCGTAAAGAAACTTTTTGCGAAATTAACTAAAAAAACTTATTATAGAATCCTAGAGATGTTAAATAATTTTATTTTTACTCATAAAAATATAGCGTTTCTTTTTTAATTGCATATTATTTTTTTTAAAAAAAATACTTTAAATTGCATCAATTTCTTTTTTTTCACGATTAAACTTCTTAAACTTATAACAAACCCAAAATGCCCTTTGATGAAATCAATTTACAGCAGTTTTTCGCCTTACACAATTTTTAAATCCCTTTTTATTATGCAAAAAATAAGATGACACAATCTAGATTCATTCTGATTTTAAGAAGATTTATAAATATTTTATTTAAAGTAGCGTGGCGTACAATGCGTTGAAAAAACGAACTACGCCAAATTTTCAATGTGCGACTATTTCGAACTGCAATTTCTCAAGAACTACTTAACCGATTTCGTTCTAAAGCTTTATTTTGTCATGACAAATTACATACTTTAAATGATTAAAAAGATTGTAAACCTTCCAATTTAAACTAGCATTAAATTTTTGAAAAAAAATAATATTTACAGATATTTATTTTTGCATGGAAATTTCTTTGGATAAACGAATTTTATAATTATGTGTAAAACTTTTTCAATTCTCTTAAAAAATTCTCGAGATTTAGTGAAATTCGCAAAAAATTAAAATTAGCGTTTTGGCGTTTAAACTTTGATCGTTCTCCTGGCCAGACTATGGGGACCATGTTTCCCTGATTTATTCAGAGAAAATTCGTTTTTGTGAATCATTTCGTAACTTAAAATATTGTGTGCGCTAATTAAATAGCATATTTGAGGTCCCTTCTTGAACTCTTGAGATTGAGTCTTCGAATGTGAAGATCCGATCATTAAATCAAAAGTTATTCAGGATGGTTCGTTAATTTTGTTTCTCTTGCCCATTGTGTATCAAGAAAGACTAACGGCACGTGGTTTTGAAGAAAGTTAAATTCTTCTTCGTTTTCTAGATCAGTAGTGATTTGTATAAAGTTCTAAACTTAAGAATATGAAAATAATTTTAAACGTTTTTAATAAAATGTTCAAATATCTCGAAAAAATACCAAACATTTCATGAAGTCTAAGCAACATTTTCAATAGTTGACATTTTTTTCTTTAAACTACTCCTAATTATAATTTCCAGGTAGGTAATTTACAATTTTCTGGAAACAGCATTATACAAATTCGATTTCTCCTCGTAATCCCAGTAGTAACCTAACAGAAAGAAATTAGGTTCTACGCGGAGAAAAAAATTCTGGTAAAATTAACGTACAGTATAAAAATGACATTTTAGTGACATGGCAGTTACATTAATGACAATTACTGTTCTACATGATATTATATAGAAATTGAAATGTTTATCACTAAACTATGATGTAAGAATAGTTTTCCTGGACAATTTGGAAATGCATGGCACCAATTTCTTATTATAATATAATTAATGTAATTAATAAATAATTCTTTATTAAATAATATTATTTCTTTACTAAGTAGATTATATATAATTTCATTCATCAGTAATTGCAGAAGTTTTTCAAATTTTCCTTTCTTCTTTTGCTTTGATAAGATTTTTACATAGACTTTCTGAATGAACTGTGCTCATAAGAAAAAGGAACACACTGTATAACTTTTGATCTAATGATTGGATTTTCAGAATAAGACGCAATTTTAATGGTTGAATAGAATTATCTTAGGATAAGCTTATTTTATAATTGTGTTTAAAACGTTTTTCAATTTAATAATCCAATTCGCTTAAAAAATTCTCAAAATATGGCAACATACACTAAAAGGTTCAAAGTATTGGTGTCATATTTTCCAGAATTTGGCTTCACCCTTCCCCACATTTTGAAGGTGAAAAATTCAGATCTATTAAAAAAGACAAGTTTATTCAAAGAAAGTATAGTTTTTTGTTTCATTTCGTAGCTTAAAATATCGTCTGCACGTATTTAGCATATTTGAGGTCATCTTCGTTAATCATTAAGTTTGAGTCATATTAGGTAAAAATCCGACCAAGAGAGCAACAGTTTTTCCTTTTTTTCGAGCACTGAACGTTATTCATTATGTTAAATTTATTGAACGAAATAAAAAAATATTTCTTTAAATAAGCACTTTATTAAGCGTAACCAGAAAACCTAAAGAGACTATTGTTCTATAAAGGTAAGGGGTAAGTTATTTCAGTTTTACTTCTTTTAACAGTTAAATTATGTTTGTATGTAAAGATTTTAAATTATCTATAAAGTAACGTAAAATAATCTCGAAAAATCTTTTAACTACAATGCGTATTGGCTGGTATAAAATAAAATAAAAATGTCCTAAACCAAACGTCGATATATCCAATTTTTTTGTCCCTCTTTCAGAATTGACTATGTTTTCTGACCTTCAAAAGTTCAAGACAGTTTTAAAGATAAGCCCTTTTCTGGGTCATTCCTTTCTCTTTCATTTGCATTTTAAGAACACTGAATTTGCATTTGGCGATAGGAAAATCAAGATCTAAACCAAAGCCTAGAGGTTTCGATTTGGCTATTTTGGAAGTTCATTTTTTTTTGTTCATTTTAGTCTCAAAACAGACCCATTTCAACTAAACGTTGCCATTCGAGCTGTCAAAATATTGAAAAATCGCATCTATAAATTCACAAGCAATCAAAAAAGTGCATTAAAAAGGTACTTCAAATATATAAAAATATATAATAAGAAAGTTCTTAAAATATGAAGTGTCTTATGAATGCTAAAGTCAAAATAATGACTTCTTTACTCAAAAAATCTTTAAAAAAAAAGCATTCGCTATTACTTTTTTTAAAATGTCTCAATCTAAAGAACCAGAAATGATATGAGTGAAATGACATAACATAACTTAAATTTGAAATCGATCGAAATATAAAGTTAGTCTTTCGTAAGTTTTTGTACTCCCATTGTTAACAATACTGCATCACTACTGCTGTTACGGACATTTTTAGAAGCATTAAAAAAATATTAAAATTCTGATCTACCAAATAATGAGTACCGGGTATGCTGTTATAATTTTTATTATAAAATTAAGGTAAAATAACGTAAAATAACCAGCAGCAGTCACTCCAGCTAAATAACCGTTAAGTTACGGTAAAGAACACTTTTTACCTTTGCGGTTTTGAAACAGTTTACAACTAACTTCTAACAGTTTATAACTACCTGATTTTTTAACAGTTTACACAGTTAAAAAATCAGGGATACAAAAGTATGAGAAACTATTTTTAACCATTTGCATCTAGCCTGGTTTCAAAACTGTGAAAAAGACATTTAACTGGGTATTGGAGATAGTTTAGCAGCTTTGTAGTGCTGCCATCTATGCGTGACGGAGAGCATCGTATTCTAAAAGTTCAGGCTCACAAATTGGGGAGTGCAGGACACCAGAAACTCTTCTTTTGAAAGGAATGGAGAAAACATAGCGGTGTCAATGCTGGAATTCGAACCCCCGTTTGTTGGTCAGGAGATTTCAGGACACGCCCCTTGGCTGTAATATGTATCAATCTGCTAGGAACTAAGTAGCTTCATTAAATAGATAAAATTCAGGTCGTTTACTGTATTAGGTGAAAGCAGTAAGAAAATGGATTCTCTCACAGTTAATAATTTGGATACCATCTTAATTACGGTTATTTAACTGTTTTGTTTAAATGTGGTTAAATAACATAAACAGTTGTTATTAAGCCATTTTTCGAGGGATTTCTTACAGTGTACCTAGACTAGAAAACAAGAATAATGCAGTGGTAATATTTTATTTCCAGAATAACTCACAATGAGGAGTGGTTTCTTGTCTTTTTTTTGTAAGTTTAAAAAGGAAAGAACTGCATAATACTCTCAACACTGAAGTTTTTTTTTAAAATAAAGTGTTATTTTCAGTCATACACTTACCTAGTATTCCTTTTACTGATGTTTTTATAATTGTAAAGCTACTGTCCTGCATTCTTACAATGACATTTATCCGGGGGGGGGGATGAAATATTCTAACTACGGTAGAAAAAAAGAATCAACATAATGCTTTAAAATAAAAATCAGTTCAAAAAGTGGCAAACTGGAAGAGTCGAAATTCTTTTAAATGTATTTTGTTTACATAAAAATTACATTTTCGCTTTCATAGTTATAAAACTGAAAATAAATTCTGTTTGTATTTTTTTCAGGAAAGATGCTGATCTGTATCGCTTACCATTATCATTCTTCAATAGCTAAGGAACAGTCTATCCCTGAAGGATGTAGCTTGGAAATGAACGACTAGCGCTGCACACTTATTTTGTAATCTTGCTGCTCACTGATCGAATAATTGTAGTATGTACCAAAACTTGGTAAATTTATGTATTTTTTCAAATAACATCAGCCCTGTACGTTTTATACTTGTAAATAAACGATCCCTTCAAATTTGATGAATGATTTGGGCCGAAGGCAGAGAACTTTTTTCGATTAGTGTACCAGTTATATTAAGATTTATTATTTTCACTTATCCAGAGTGTCAATTTTTTATTTTTTCTCAAAAAATAATTTTTAAACTATTGCACTGTACAGTGATTGTGTGATTTTAGTGCATCTGCACTGCGATTTTAGACTATCGAATTATATTGTATAATATATTTGCTTTTTCCAAGTTTTAACTTTCTTCAAATAGAAATCGTATAAAAAGTATTTTAAAAATATTTCAGTTTAATATTGAGCTAATGCAAAATATCCTAAAACAGCCATCTTCTTTGTCAAACAATAAAATGAAATTGTAGTAATTAATGCAACATAGTTTTAATTTTTCATAGATTTCTTCTGCAAAATGAACTTCTTTAGTGAATATGGTACTATTGTAAGTCTTAACATCCTGGAAAATATCACGATGTCACCAAAATAGCATTTTTTTGATCTGCTTAGAAAGACCAACAACAGTGGAATTTTTCTTTTAATATTTTCAGCGAATGTCAGTTCCTAAAAGTATAATTTAAGACGTACTCCTTACGAAGCACCGAAATGCATACGGCCTGCCACCTAGTGGCTCGTGTATCATGGGTCCTCCACCTCTGATTAAAGCTGGCGAAATTTACATGCATGAGTAAGTACATACTGGCGAAATTGAGTTCTTTTAAAAAATAACAAAAGTTATTATTAACATAAACTAATGCTTAACTACCATTGGGCAAAACAATATCTCAAAGGGTTCAGTCCTTTGAGAGTTTAGTCCTTCAATATATTTGGTAAAAAAATATGTAGTACAAATTTATACCTTCGAGAATAATAGAGATTTTTTACTGTATGTGTGCCTTTTCAAAGGTTTGCATTAAAAATATAATTGGATTTACTCCTGATAGTTAAAGTTCGTTCTTACAATTAAGAATTAAAAGAAAGGTAAGAAATTTTGACCACGTCACATTTTGGACTATTTTGTGGAATATCTATTTTCTTAATTTGAGTCGAATGGAGTAGTTCATGTTTTATAACCAAAATAGTAAGATCTACATTATATAAATATCCCTAAGCACGCAATAAATGCAAAGAAATATCATTATTGTAATGATTAAAAATAAATAAAAAGAGTACAATTAATATGAAATAATATGAAGAGTACAATAGAAATAAAATGAAGAGTACAATTAATTTAAAAAACAATTTTATCGTATATATCTAAGCGAAAATCTCATTTTCTGTCATTATTTAAAATTGCAATCCCAGGAAAGTAAAAAAGACATTAATGAATTCTAAGTTTTTATAAATATTCATTAAGAGACTAACATTACATTAAGAGACTAATGCATTCTAAGTTTATTAAAATTTATATTAAGAAATATATGAATTTGAATTATAAACTTTAATATAATGGTTATCGATTTAAGGCAGTCTATTTATGTACAATTTTTTCCAATATTTTGGAATAAGGTTATTGGATATCGAAAAGAAAATGGACTGAATGAAAGATACATTTGAGAAAATTGTATCTTAAAAATGATACGTTGGCTCTGTGCCAACCACACTCAATAAAGATGTCAGACAAGCCATTTATGACCTGAAGATGATGGCAATAAGCTACGCCATCTGCACAGACATTTAGAAACCTAAACTGATAAGCAATAGTGAGTTTAGATAGACGCCAGTTGGATTCGATTCGGAAGTTCACTTCTGAAATATACAAGAATAAGTTATTGAACGAAATGTTAGTCTATTAGCATTGAAATGCTTTAAGTTTTTAACTTTTCTGCCATAAAATAAAACAGTATTAAAAGAATTGGAGGTTTAATCTTATTTACTTTTACATTAAAAAAAATACCTCGAGCTTCGTTTAAGAAAACTACTTCGAAGTCATTCCGTTGATGATTTATCGACTACGTAATTTAGTCTCAACTTTATAAATAGTTTATTAAAAAAAATTTTCATTCTTATAAATTCAAAAAGAAATATTAAGAAACTGTTTTCGATAGCTTAAGTACGAACTATAAAATGTCATCAAATTAAAGAAAAAATATTCTTGAACACTTCAAATTCCAATTGAGCTAATCAAACAGAAACGCAAAATTAGAAAGCATAATTTTATCGGAACAAAAAATACTGAAGGATAAATACTAAATGAGCTGCAAGGGCCTATTACACATATATACTTAATTATGCTACTGTTTATATGTTTAACGCTTTTGAATAATGTAGTTTTCAAGAATTTCCCTTTATTGTTCTTAAACAGATTATATAAATCCGATTCAAAACAAAATTGAAGAGTAGGACAATTATTCGTTAATTTCTTACATGCTTTGATAATTAGCATGGCTTTAAAAATCTATAAAGCTTAATAACAAAAATTTATACTATTTTTTACAGAGAGCTATGAGGCAAGAAGCAAAACACATTGAGAACCAGAGGTTTTTAATTAACTCATTCCTTCTTGCTCCCGTCAAAATGACTGGGTGGATTTTCATCCTCTATTTCTCGTGCCTGTGATATTTCCGGGCTCGTGTGTTCAAAAGAAATGGGCCAAAAAGGTTAAAGCACTGTATTTCCTATGTCCGGAATTATGTTTACGACTAATCTTTTATTGTCATATCTTGAAATTAATGCTTCATATAAAGAAGTAAATGTATCGAAGGTAGAAGCAAATTCTTTCACTTCGTTAGCAAGACAAGAATTTAAATAATATAGTTTCTGTGTTTCACCAAGTTGACTGTTAGAAGCAATTAAATCATCAAATTGATTTTTAAAACTAGAAAAATGTTCATATTTTCCGGAAAATATAGGAAGATTAACTGGAGGAATTTTTAATACAGTTTCTAAGTTATCATTTAGTTTATGATTATTCTCTGTCTTATTATTAGAATCAGCACTAGATGGCAGTGCCAGACTATTTGTCATGTGTTTAGAGATTGTTTATTTTAAACAAGATATCACAATATATAAGCTAAAAATTAACCCAAAAATTAAAAATAAGAAAATATATTGTATATACACTTACTTTTATATAATTTTCTTGAATAAAAAATGGACACTTTTATAATTGTTTTCCTCAAAATTATGTGAACATTAAGAGATTAAGTAAAAAATTTTATTCACTATTTGATAATTATTATGTAAGAACATTGCACAATTTACAGCCCATAAACCAAAAGTGGCCAATGAATTATATTAAACTTAGCCTTGGAACTGTCTTAAATATTAATAAAATATAAGAAGGAAAATTACCACGAAAATTCTTTTCATCCTGGTTATCTTTCAGCAAGTAACTAAAGTAAATAATATAATTTAAAACTTTTATCGATGTATTTCTACAAATTTCCTTTACTGTTTGCATTTGTATTACATGGAGAATAAAACCACGTAAAATTCGCATTGTAAGCCTGGCGACGGGGATTCCAACTTATGATCCATCTACCACTGAGGATGTTTTTCGTTAACACTGTTTTCGGGGCGAGTCAGGTGGGATTCGTATAGACCAGCCATCAATGATATTTGAATCCAGGCCACATCATTGGGAGATGAACGCTCTTTCCTTTTCGACACCACAGCCCTGATGAATATTTATTGAAGGGAATTAAAAAATATATTTTTGACTTGCCATCATTTTTTTCCCAATGTCAACCTGGAGAATTTCGTCATACAGGCATCTGAAGAGCAGATTTGATTGCCACTCCTTCAGGGGCTCCCACCGTAAGGCCAGATAGTACAGCAAAGAAAAGAACACCCATGCCTTGGCTGGGATTTGAACTCAGAACCTTTTAGTTTCAAGACCAGTTCCCCGACCTCTACTCACGCTGTTTGGTGACTTTATAACATAACAACTAAAATAGAGCATAAAACAAAAATAGCAAAATTTCAAAACCCGCCATCTAACTTTAAAACCAAAATTAAAGAAACATCATTATCAACAAACTAACCTTTCCATTAATAATAATATATTTTTCGCAAATTTATTCCAGCATGAAATAAACTAATCTCGTATGAAATACTGCTTAATAATTAAATAGTTTAAGTATTGTTACTGAAAGAATTTCTCGTTGTTTGAACGCAAAACTGACATTGTTGAATTTGGTCTCCTCGTATCCTAATTAATAATCGATTTCGGTCAAAGATAGTTAAAAAGTTTAAAGTAGAAATGTCAAAGATATTCCTAAAGTAATCTGAAAATTGTTGTATCTGAAACTCAGTCATGCAGAGCTATTAATTATCTGTAGCCGGCCCATCTAATGGAAAATTCCAGTTTTAAAGAATGATTCCTTAAACTTTGTTTCTGCTTATTTAGCTTGATGTCATCAATAACCATTGAAATAGATCCTGTAATGCTGTTAAGTTTTATTCAAAACCATCCAATCTTTTGAGAGGGAAAAGCATTCAAGTAACGATATTTTAATTCAAGAGACAGATAATTGTTCTAATTAATTACAAAAATACTGGAATTGCAGAATAGTTTGAAGCAACTAATTTCGTAACTTCAAAATTATAAAATGAATAATGTGAAACTTTCAAAAATTATCCTTTGTTGGTTGTAAAGAAATTGTTAAGATAAAATGATAAAAATTTTAGAGTACGTTGAACTGTAGTATTGTGCGTATTTAATTGATGTCATGCCTTTCCGAATTTGGTGTTGAAGTACTCTAACAATTATCTTATTATATATTATATGTTATATATTATTATATTATATTATACTAGTGGGCTGAGCCCCCTGCTCGCTAACGCTCGCCAACCCCCGAAAATTGCTACGCAATCTTATGTGGTTTGCTTCGCAACACAAGCTCACTTCGCTCGCTACTAACTTAGCAATGCACAAAATTCTAAAAATTCAAAACAATCATTCAAATCCATATAACAATTTTTTTTTAAGAAAATTACATCTTTTTAGTAAATACTAAGTCATTAAAATAAATTTGAATTCAAATAAATGACATGTAATTCGTTAAACCTATTAGAAATGTGCTATAGTATAAAATCTTAAGATAAAATTTCTAAAACTGATATCTCTTTAAAAAGGTCAAAATTTTGGATATAATTAAGTCTATTAAAAATTGAAATAAGTGAATTGCAATGGAAAAACCTGCATAAACAAATAAATTCCAGTAAAGCAAATAAATTCGTGATATAAATCAAAAATAGACAAATAAATTCGTGAAAAAAAGCGCTTTCGACAAAATACTAAAATAGAGATCTATCGACAAAGACTACTCACTTTTGCCTTGCTTATGCTCTCTCTGGTTATCTCAGTTTCCGTTTTTAAAAGCGCTATATGTTGAGCCACAGCTAGATTTAGCATGTGACATTTTTAGCGGCAAGCATTGGTCGATTTTCTAGCGTTGCCATTCGGGGAGTTGTAATTAAGGCTTTTTTTGTCGCCGTGTAAGAGAAATATATATATAGATATTATTATTATATTATATTATATGTTATTATTATATTATTTAAAATTATATTATATTATTATTATATTACATATTATTTTTATGTAAAGTAACTTGAGATATATCTCAAGCTAATACTGAATCGAGCGTTTATACACACTTTAAAGTTAAATCTCAACACCAATATATGCGAAAGCTAATAGTTTGTCTAAAATAAGAACTCCCCTGGCCATTCATCTGGACTAGTGGCGGTGGCTATGGTAGCGATTTCTAACTTTTTCAAGTAGGTAGTTCTTTTTTCGGTCTACTGTGTTAGAGTGAAAAGAAGCTACTCTTCCTGAAATGCGTTATTCTTGTTTCCATAGCAGCAGACAGTCTCAGACTTCGTGGCGGGAAGAGTTCTTACCATACATGAGACAAACTGTACATGAAGATGCGATGCATTGAATTGTTTTAGATTGCAGAAAACACCAAAGTTGGCACATTTTGGATATCGTCAAAAGTTAGTTTACATTGAGTAAGAGTTGGTGTGGGTTGTTTACTTCCATGAAGCAAAACAATGTCTACAGAGACATATTCGCCCTTAAATTGCGTTTTTTCTTAGTTGCGTAATAAGGATAATTATTTTTTAATTTTTAAATATCTAAAAAATGCATTAAATAATTATATTGCATTTAATTTGTATCAGCTTTGATTTCGATAAACCTTGTTCAAACCCATATTAATATTCTCACTGTGCTGTGTGCTTGTTTGATTGACAAACTAATTCTATTTTAAGAAATATTCCATATATGCTTCCTTAATTTATGATTCTGTCTTTATATTGTTTCGTCTCAAAAAATTTAATGATTCTTGAGCATTACGTGTGATATATCTTACTTTGATATATCTTACTTTGATTATTAATTTCAGTGCTACTAAATTAAAGAAAAAAAAAGCATGGTGGTAAATACATTACATCAAGTTCTTTTAAAAGAGCATTATAGGTGTTTCACTTCATTAGGAACAATCCTTGGTTATTGGTGTAGTGAAGTGCCACCATTTTTGGTGTTCAGATACAGGAAAAATTTTTACAGTGTGTGTTTTCAAAACTAATGTTGAAAGTGATAAAAAAAAATTTTAAGTTTGATTCTTTCCCTCGGTACACATATTTCGATCATCGGTATTTCCTAATTTGCTGCTGTTTAAAATGAAAAGAAAGTTCAACTGTTCAAAACCCATTTAAGTTTTAAAAAAAATTGTCCCATTAATGATGTTGCCAATGGGAGAAAAGGTGAGAAAAACCGACTAACTGCGTCATTTTAACCTTAAATATCATTTATCAAGTATTACCACTTAAGTTTACATACCACTTACATTTTATGAATTAGTGTAGTTTTCATTTTCTAGAAAAACCGAAGCGTTATTATTGCCAATTGGAAGAAACAGTTTCCTTCTTATCCCCGTGGTTTCATTTGAACTGTTTGTAACCAATTATCATTAAAATATCAATTTTCTAGTATGGAAAATGCAACAGTTATAAACCAAAGTATACATAGTATTCTCGAAAAAACTATAAATCTTCATAAATATTTTAATTAAACAATGTTTTCTAAAATCAGTTAGAATTTAAATGTGTATCAGAAAACTTTTAGAACAACAAATTTTAGTTCGGAAAGACAGACAAAAGTACTGGAAACACTGCAAATTGATACGAAACTTTGGAGATCACGAGATAATGTTTATAAAAGAGAGAAATATTTCTTTCCTCAGAGAAAACATTTCCTACTTGCTATCTCAAGGGATTAGAGATTTGCTGCTATTGTACTAATATGGCATTTTAGCTTTGAACTTTTGTCATTTTCTTGCAGTTAAGCTAAAAGGAAGTTATGGCAATATTTACCCCATGCATTCTTATAATGTTTCAGATAAAGTTTAGTAAATAGAAGATTTATGATGTTTGTCAGTTCGCGGATTTCATAAAATGAAACTTTTAACTCAACTTAAAAATACAGGGTGATCCCTAAAAATCACACTTAATGTTAAAAATGTTATTTTATTCTCCAGAATTTCATTGATACGTTATATGTAGGGAATTCCGTAAATACCACTCTTATTGTATATTTTATATATGTATTTTAATTCTTATCAATATATTTGTTTAATTCTTATCAATATATTTGTTTAATTCTAATCAATATATTTGTTTAATTCTTATCAAAGTTCTAGACAAAAAGCCATACTCACGAGGCTATTTTAAAATATCATAAATTAGAAATGGATACCTGAAAGTCATTTTAGGTGAACTGTGACGTCATTTAAAGTAAGCCAATGTGACGTCATTGAAGGCAAGCCAATCAGAAAGTAGCGTCATTTTAGGTAAGCCAATCAGATTCGTCACAAACGTGTGACGTAGCTTACCGGTAGTCAATTAAATCTGATTTAAATCATACGGTTTAGCATAATCTTTTTCCTTCGTCCCTAGTTGCAGGTACCCACTTAAGGAAAGCAGTGAAACATATCTTTAAAATCAATTTTGCTTCAATTTGAAACTTTAAAGGATTGTTAATAATTGTTTCCGACCCTTTTTGCTTCGAGCGCAATCAAACTAATGAATGTTGCTCAGTTTCTAGAACTATTGCTA